GCATTTATCCAATTAAATACATTTGATAACGCTATTTTAAGTGATAGAGATATCACTTATCATCTACAAATTACTGACACTTCTACGAATGAGTCGTATTCGTGTCGTGTTGTGTTTGTATCAGACACCGATAGTTGTCAGACACTCATTGGACACGTGTCCGACACTGTCCAAAAAAAAAAAAAAAATTATTTTGGACACTTCAGGATACTTAATAGACGCTTAGGGCTATTTTGGTATGGTTGAATGAAATAAAGTGGGAATGAAATGAATTAGAGAATGGAAATGGAAATGGAATGAGAATGGAATGACCATTCTCATTTCCATGTTTGGTTGCACGGAAAAACATTGTATTTTTGTAAAACATATATATATATATGTGCGTGTGTATGTAGCCGATGTTTCATTAAATGTTTTTTTTATTCATTTATTATTATTATTTTTAAAAGTATGTATGGAATAGCCATTCATTTAGTTGGAAAGTAGAATGAATTAGTGGGAATCACCATTCTCAAAGAATGGGCAAGAATCATCTTTCCAACTTTAAAATTAGTTACCAAACTAAAGAATGAAAACAAAAGCATTCAATTCTCACTTCATTTGATTCCATTCACTCACACCAAATATGGCCTTAGGCTAACACTTTCTAACATTTATAACACAAGTTTACCTAGAAATCTTGAAAATAATATAAACACGTTCTTCAACTTTTTAATTTAAGAAAACTGGTAGTATACATATAACTATTGTGACACAATAATGGAATAACGATATATGTATGGTATAAAAGTCATTACAATAATAACATAATTTCATTTTATAAATTATTCCAAACCAAATGTTAATATACAAATTATAAATTAATTAAAGTTTTATAATACTATTACTCAATATATGTATAAAAATAAAATTTCATATTTATATATAGTTGTGTCCATGCTGTACTCGTGTCTTACTTTTTAAAATTTGATGTTCGGTGTATGTGTGTCCTGTGTCGATGCCCCTGTTACATAGCTTATGGTTGAATGCTGAATGCTGAAAATTTTAATATATATATATATATATATATATATATATATATATATATATATATATCAAAAAATTTATATATATATTTTTATTATCACTTAAAAACTTTCGAGCTTAAAATTCAGCTCTTAAAATTTTAAGTACTTAAATTTTCAGTTTTATCAAACACCACCTTAGTCTCACTCTAAATCGCCTATCCTCTCTCTCTCTCTCTCTCATCAAATTTCTATAATCTTTCTTGAACCTACAATCATCGAAGACTAGTGAGAGTTTTCTAATCTCTTCAATCCCTAATAAATTTTTGGAACTTTCTTTTTTTTTTTTTTTCATCTCCAATGTTTGAGTTTCAAACGGTCAGAGGTCATCATACGTAACAACATCGACTAGACACAATTGACGAAGTGCCATCTTTCGTTCTCGTCAATGAAGCAGCCTTTTGATTTTGAGTTACCGTTGCTTGGTCTATGATTTCATCCATTTCCTCTAGGAACTTGTTTTGTAATTATCTTCAAGGTTAGACTTGTGAAATTGAACTAAATCGATCTGATTATTCACGGTGCAGTTCTATTAGTCCTCATAGTTCGGTTTGGTTTTAATTTGTGTGGAACTGCTAAGATTGGTTTGATTCCAAAAATAATAATTAAAGCTATGTACTTTACTTAATATGGTAATTAATTAAAATAACTAAATGTGATAATAATTAATTAAAAGATTAATTAAGGAATTATTTTAAACGAGGAGGTGCTTGTCAAGGAGGAGTCTCCTTTTGAGAATTATCAAGAACCCGATAAAACCATTCTCCATATTACATGTTTTGGTCCTTGTCTAGCACAAATCTAAAAAAAATGTTCAGTTTAACAACTATAAACAACGATTTCATGGTTAAAAAGCCCTGTTTTTTAAAAAACAAAATCATCTCAAGTGCAGTTTACCTAGTCATTATGAACAGTGAAATTCACTCCACCAACGCAGACTATTCTTCAATGCACTAAATGCGACCATGTTTTGCAGATATTTAAAATTTTATAAAATCATATTTGGAAGTATCAAATCGGTTGCTACAGTGATTTGCACGGGAATGGATTTAGATTTAAAATTGAATTTTTTTTAGTTAAGGTGTTAATTGGGTATTCCCAAACTCAATGGAAGTAAATAAAAAATAAAAAATAAAAAATTACCTTCCTCCTGAACTAAAAAATGAGCAAATCAATATTGCAACTATCAGAATCATGCATATTACTCCCTGTCAGTCACCTTGGACACAGTTTCGGTTAACAGCGGCATCACGTGAGTTGTATTTTTTTATAATTCTATTTTTGCCCTTCAATTTTACCATTGTAACCCTTGCCTATGAAAGAACCCACCACATCTTTCTTTTTCTAGGACTATTTTTTCTCTCACCATCATTTTCAACCCCACTTATGCTCATCACTCAGATATACTCACAAATTACATGTATTATATAAATATAAGTCAATAGAACAATTATAGAAGTTTCGCCATCCCGGGACCACCGCCCACTCCGTTAAAGCAAGCTTAGTGTGTCCAAAGATCTTCAATCAACAAACATACATACAAAGATTGAGAAGGATGAAATACCAATTGTATTCTGAAACAATGAATGAGGAACAGAAATCAATAAGGTGCAATGACAATAACATGTTGACCTCTGCTACTAGCAATCCTGAAAAATCAATAAAAGCGAGTGATTGGAAGCAAGGTTTTCCTGCAAAACGGTACATGGTTTCTTGAATCGAAAGTAAGAGCCTTGATTTTGCCAAGGAGAAGTTGTCAGTGTAGTCGAGAGAGACACGGAGCAAATGGATGGCCAGAGATGAGGAAGTTTCTTTTTGGCCTCCGCTGCCCCTAGCCGGAATTCATCGCATCCGGGTATTCGACCGTCCGGACTCCCTTTTCGGCGTCGGAATTGGGTTCTAACAAAACTGGTTCGGTGTGAACTAAGGAATCTTGATCTCCACCTGCGCCGCCGTATCCCTCATCGAATATACTATCGCACTGGTCAGCTTCACTTTGGTCTTCGCCCTGTGGTTGATTCTCTACTTCTTCTGAGACGATCCGATGATCGTCTTGGGCCATCACGTGAGCGATTGGATTGTGAAGGTAGGTCTGGTTGTGGGCTCGTTGGTGGCTGTTTGGTTCACCGGAATTGTTGGTGAATGGTGGCTGTTTGGTTCACTATATATATATATAATTCTGTATTTATATATATATATATATATTCATGTGTATATTACATGAGGGGTATTAAAGGTATTATACTTTCTTTACCCTTTTTTTTTTTTTTTAATGTTAAATATAATGGGTATTTTTGTAAATATCTCGTGACAAAAATATCCTCATAGTTGTGATACTAACTTTTCAATTCGTAGTTCAAGGAAAAAAATACAGAGTTGTTATAATTAAAGGGAATATTTTGCTTTTTTGTCAAGTAAATATTAGTTTGGTATAATTAAAATGAATATGGGACAATATAATTGAGAGCCATCCTATCTAACTTTCAATAATGAAGATAACTTTTCCAAGCATGAATGATTATGATAAAAGATTCTGAACTTATCATAAGATTCCCTTTTTTAAACAATACCCACTTTTTCAAACCCAGGATTTTGGATCCTTAGTGAGAATAAAGCCTAGATGATTGTGCTTAATGACCACAATCAATGTACTTGTCATCATTCACACCTTCAAATTACAAAAATTAATGGTAGTATTATATATTTTGTAAATATACCCACAGTATTATACTAATATCTGATGGTTCATGGGCGGGAACAAGATCAACTTATTTAAAAAATAAAAATAAAAATAAAAGGCAGAAATGTGGTCTTCAAAAACAGTCTCACCCTTTTCGAAACTTCACATTCAAGTTCACATGCTCTTTCATTTTTATATTTGAAAAAGGAAATGAGAATTGAAAGAAAAGGACAAAGAAAACCTCATTATCTGGGTTCATATCTGAAGTTTCACTGACATTCCACAGATCTTTGCAGAGTCTTTTCTCTGCTGTGTTCTCCAATCTTTAATCTGAACCCAACTCATCTATTGTTTTCACATTTATTACTGGTCCCCATCTGATCTCTTAATTAGTTTTTGGTCTGAAGTCAAAGGTACATTAATTTGGGTTTGTTTCCAACTGTTTGATATCCTTATTTTTCTTTTAAAACATAATACCCCTCTCCCTCTTCAATATACTGAACATTCAGCAAAGTTATGATTTTTTTTTAATATATATATATTTTCGTGTTTAGGTTTGATTTGTAGATCATATTTTGGATGTTTTGTATTGGGTAATCATGAATATTTATGTTTTCTTTCTAAGCTATGATCTATTGATTTATTATATATGATATATTGGTATGGTTGTGGAAGGATTGATTCATTTTCATCAGACGGGTAGTTCCATTTATTGGTTCAAGTAATGGGTCTCTGCTGACCAAAGCTCAATGGGGCCTTTTGATGTTATTTATGGTATGGTTTGTTTCATTGACGTTTGCAATTTCTTCATTTTCTACTGATTTTTAACTTTCTTTTTTCAAATTCTGATTATTTGTTGTTGTTGTTGTTGTTTTTTTTTTTTTTTTTTTTTTTTTTTTTTTTTAAATATTGAGTTTAAAAGTTTATAGAGTTGCTGTTGGGATTGGATGGTTATTGGGGTGGATTTGAAGCAAAGCTGGGAAAATGACAGGCCAAGTCATCTTTGTTGTTCAGTGGCTAAGATTGCTGAGTAGAGTGTGCATTTTTTCCTTTTCTTTTTAGGGCTTAAAAGTGTTGATTTGCAGAACAAAACCTGATTTAGTGTGTGTATTGTGCTTTCTTGTTTGAACTTTTGTGCAAGTTGAGATTGGCTTTATAATTGATATTTTGGTGACTTCTGGAAGAATGATGTGAATGAATATATGTATGTGCAGATACACACACTGTGATGTTGTAGGGGAAGTTAATTTTTAGCCATTGAGATGGAAAAAAGGAAATGGTTGTGGAAGAGAAGGTCTTCTGAGAAGAGCCCTGGTGAAACCGAAAGCTCAGAATCAATATCTTCGCATTCTGAAGGATACTCTGATGATCAGGTTTGTGAATAACCCTTTCCCCAACATTATATATTCGATTATCCATTTCGGCATTTAAGGTTCTTGACATGTGCAAAGCTGGTGGTGGGGTGTCACAACAAACACATTGGCAACTAAAAGTCTTAAATGCGTTCCGAGCATCCCTTTATCTGAGAATGATTCTTCTAGAAAATTTCTGCAAAAATGCACTTATTTCACCCTGTTCATTAACTGTTTGTCCTCTCAGGTGCTTAGAAGTCTTCTGAACTTTTGTCTATATTATGCATATCTTTCTGTTTAATGTGCAGTGTTTGCTACTATTTGCCATGTTCAAAGTTCTAAAACAAGTTGAATTTGAAGGTTTGAAAAGCATCCTTAATAATATGTAGCTTCTGTTGAATACTGCAAATGCTATCATTCCTATACATGTAAACCAAAATAATGTAGTCTTAAAAGAGAGAGCTAAATCACATATGAGGTTAGATAAGGTCGTTACATGCTTATGTTGAAGCTATAAATCTCCTTCATTTTGTTATCTAAAATGGATAGTCTTGTTAAAAAATAAATAATTAGAAGATGATGTTTTGGGGCTTCCAATTGCCCCTTTCAAGCATGTCTCGTAGACAATACAATCTCTTGATTGTGACCTTTTGTGGTCTTCCTTTCTGCTTTTCAACCTGGCAAACTAATTTCATATCTTGACCTGGATGCGAGAAAGCTATGCCAGTGGATATGAGGGTTCTGGATAATTATGAAACTTGGATATTTCAACTGCCAAAAGGAGAGGGAAGAAAAAGAAAGTTTTAGCTGTTATACTGTAATTCGGTTTATAAAGTGTTTACAAGCTTAATTAATCAATCAGTGACTGGCTGCTAAAGGATATGGAATTCCCTAATTGGAGAACTCCAACCTGGTTATATTTGAACTCCGGAGTAGTAACTCATTACCTCACAACCAGCAATTTCTGGCGTTTCCATTGGCACATATGAATCATTTTCTTCATGTTCATCTGTAGGTTGCATCTATGTATGTTATAGAAAAGAAGATACGGACCTTGACTCGAAGATTGTGGACTTGGGTATGTGTCTAAGCGTTGGATGTGTCAAATCTCAAAAAAAAAAAAAAAAATAGGACACATGGTCACTGCTAAATATTAATATTATCTATTATTTTTAATCTATTTTCAAGAGAAAAAAGTTGAATTATTAGATATGCATGTCCAACCAAATATGTCTAACACATCTCTCATACCCACGTTTGAATATCATGTGTTCGACACGGGTACTTCACGTATATTTGAAGAGTCTATCTAACATAGGGTTGCCTTGCATGTAATAGCATCTCCTCTAGCCGTGTTGCTGGTACTGAAAAATCACTTATTTTTGGTTAGACATTTTTCTAGAAGGGTTGCTAGTAGTTATATAAAAATACAGTAGTTACAGAAGAATTGTAAATAGCCTTGTTAATAGTGTTATAGGACCTCGTGAGGGGTGGGGATCAGAAAGTAGATTTGAAGACTTCCAATATCTACCTATCTATCTATTTATTTACTGTTCAGTGAAATTTCGTCCACTGCTATGAGAAATTGAATTAAATCAGAAGTTTCAAATTCTATATCTTCTAATCATCCTAATCTTTTTTTCTTTTCTTTTTTTTTTCCTTCACATTCCTTTGTTGGGACTGTTTACCGATTTATTCTTTCTCATATTCTACAACTTTCTTTTACTGAAGTTTATCGATGATTCAATGCTTAAGCTAAATTTTGGGTTTTTATAAATTTATATGATCGAAGAGCAATCCTTTCATTAAGCTACTGTCTTATTGATAAGATCATCAAAGATAGTAAAGGATTGTCTAAATGCTAGACATGCAAGTGATCATCCAATTGTCATGTAAGTATCAGGGTGCTAGGCCAGGCCTCCATTTCCCATGTTTGAAGTCCCTGTGTGTATTCCATTAGTCGTCAAACAGCAATGTTATTGTCAATTGAGAGCAACTTGCATCTTGTAAGAAATGTCCTGGATGACTAGGCTAGCCCACGATAAAGGATATAAAGAGGAAAAACCCACAATAGGGTCCCATTGCTTGATGTAATGGTAGAACATCGGGTTGATAAATGTGTAGCCACTTTGAGACCAGTACCTCGCATAAGTGTTACCAAGAATGAGTAATGAACTTCAAAATGTTCAACTTTTACATTTCAATTTTCTTGAATGAAATTATGTATTTACATGCTGCATCTATATATATATTTTTAATATACTACTATATATTTTTGGGTGTGAAAGAGGTATTATTTTTCAACTTAAGGAAACAAGAAATTGGATAACATATCCACTTTGCAACTCTGGCAACCTTAACCAGCTCTTCCATGCTTCCACGAAGTTTATACAAAATCTGTAACACCAGTTAAGTTGAGACGTGTGGTAGCCATGGAATTGAGAATAATCTGGTAACCTGTTTAAGTCATCGCTGAACACATTTAAAGTCTCAAAAGTTTTTTCGTATCTCTTGGATTGAAAAGTAATCCAGCCTTACAACACCTTTTTTCTTTTTTTTTTTTTTTTTTGGGTCTGTGTAAACCCTGTAACACTTTGTAACAAAATCCCCGGAGTGGCTGCTGTTTTGCGTTTGCTTTTCATATTTGTCACCTGCATCACAGTATTGCTTGCTGCTAACAACAACAGTCACATTACCTCACAGCTATAGACTTCTAAGCATTACATACTATTTCTGAAGACAAATTCACTCCCAAATGCTGCTTTTGGTAGATATAGCAAAGATAACATTACTCGATATACTTAATTATACTCTTGTCTAATTCTAGCCCTGATCTTCAGAAACAACTCCAAGAAAGAAAAAAGAAAAAAGAAAAAAGAAAAAAAGAAGGTTTGAGTTGATTATTATACTGGATCTGTGTCATAACCCAATGATTAAGTGTGTTATGTTCAACTAAGACTCTTGGACATTACCAACTCAAGCAGTATTTTGATTGATTTACAGTATTACAAGTATTTGGTTGGTTTTTGCTCCTAACTATTGGGAATGTTCAAATGGTGCAGTTTTGAAGGCATGAACCTTCCCTGGCCTACCATAATCTAGGTTTCTAAAAATTACATTTGAAACTACGAGAAGGGCTAAAGAAATGCTAAGCTTTCATTAGGTAATTGTGGTGTTGGGTCCTGTTACAGTGATGGAGATGTAGGATGATGAAAACCCCAGAAGATTAGGTTTGGATGAATGCTGAGGCAGCCTTAGAAGAGAGACAGTAATGGAGAAAACCAGAAGAACTCCAAGGTCACTGCTGCCCTCCTAAGTGGTGCTTCAAAATATTTTTGAGTTGAAAACAGGTTCAAAATCTGTCTGTTGTATATTGACTTAAACATGGATGAGGGCCATCCGTTATGGGAGAATGTGGCTGTGGAGGATATTGAGTCCGTGTGCTGCAGCTACATGGCCAAAGAAAGATACTTTCACGTTTAGTATTATATCTGCTAAAAAATGCTGTGTGCCAAGCAGTACATGTGAGAGTGTGGATTCTAATCAATTGAAGTAATGAGCCTCCCAATATTCACATATATATTTTTATAATTTACTATTATACATGTAATTAGATTCCATTTTTATTTATACTTATGATAAATTATGCTGTGTTGAGCTTTTTATTCTACCTTTGCTTAAATTATTTTAATTCCCCCGATCCCTGGAAATAGTATTGGGTTCCCATAATTGAGTATTTAATGCGTTATTCTTCCATTTTAAGGCTGCAATGGTGATTGTGCTCCAGTAATACTCTCAGGTTTGGATGTGATTCTGTATGGGCATTTAGGTTTATAATTTATTTTCATTTTGTGGGGGTAGTGCTCTTATTATCAAAATATCACAGAAAATCTATATTTTTCACTATTAAAATATTTGTAAAGAATTAAAGATTAAGTTTAATTCTTCAATAAATGAAATGACCTTTATCTCTGAGGGGTTTCAGAAGTGCATGACGCACAAGACTTCGCTCTGCAACACCACACTCTAAACATCACTTCAAATACCACATATTGTGCATGTCAAAAAAATGTGACTAAAAACTGCATTCTAACAGAGCATCATGACACTATAGTTTGTTTTATGCTAACTTTGTAGAGAAATTTTTTAAGTTGATGTTTTGCTAGTCAATACAAAAAAGACAAAGAAAGTCTTCTCTTAGATTTAGCAAAACATTAACCTCCTAAAGAATGGGAAACTAATTGATGGTGGAATCTTAACCTCCACCATGGGTTGTCCTGGGAACAATTGTGTTTCTAATGTTCGAGTCTTTGTGGAATTAGTTTCAAAAGTTCTTTCATCTGCCATGAACTTCGTAGGGGGCATGTTAAATGGATTCCCCCGGCAACTTTCTTTTATTTGGCTCCAAAATCTTTTTGGTCTATGTGAGTTAGGTTCTTATTCATCCTTCTTTCGTTTCTTTTTAATGATGCAGAAGGCACTGAAGGCATCTCCAAGTCATAACACTCAATCACCAGAAGTCACATCGAAAGCGACAGTCACAAGCGAAGAAATTAATGATAACATCAGGAGTCTAAGAGAGAAGTTATCAGCTGCTCTTGTGAATGTTAGTGCGAAAGAAGACTTGGTCAAGCAGCATGCTAGAGTTGCTGAAGAAGCTGTTTCAGGTATTAATCTTGTACTTGTATGTGCAAATGATCTGCATTCTTCCTCCCATCTCAATCGCCTGTCTTAGAATCATCATCATACCAATTACAACACACACAGTTTGGCATTGGTTTAAACTTTTTACCAATGTGAATGGGGTAACTATGTCTTGAGTACACTGTGATTATTGACAGGAAGAATTGTAAATCTATATTGTAAAATTCATGATATAATTCATTTCGATGATTGTATCTCACATATCTGACAATTTGTCAATAGAACAGTTTTAAGAATTATCTCAGATGAGAAAAGGATGATAGTGGCCCTCCTCTTCTTCGTTCACTCAAGACAATCTGATTTTTCTATATATATTGCAAGAAATTCTGTAATAGAGAGAGCTTACACGTGAGATCTTATAGGGAACACACTCTCTAACTGGTGGTCAAGAATGGTCTAGTACTTCTTTGCCAATAGGTCCTCACTTATCTATACAAGTCATTGAGATAATAAATATATTTCATTTTCACCCATCAAGACTTATTTTTAATTCTAAATGGGAATTGGGAACTTTTAATATATCAAGAAACATATAGATGATTTTTATGTTCAACTAATATATAAATCATCAAGTACGATTGGTGAACATTTCATCAAATCATACCAGCTGGATTTAATAAGCTCAATCCATTGAAGAATTGTTGCCATAATTTTCTTGTTCATTTAGAACTAGTGTGAATTCCATGTTGAAAATCTGTACACCTTAAATGATAATCAGGTAACCCAATCATGCCCATTTGTATCTCCCAATTGAGTATCACTGATTGGTTCGATATATATACCTCCTTATATGTAACCATATATCCACATAGAAATCTAATATTTGAATAGTAAAGACACCATAACGTAAGTGTATCAGCATGATATGTGTAGTCTCCAAGTGAAGTGCCCATCTCTTCACTTATGACAAGAACAAATAATAAGGTAGTAGAGGAACTGGAAAACTTTGTCCAATCTTTATAATTCTCTAATCATAATTAAGTTTTTCCTACGACAAGACCTTAGGGCATAATTACTATAACACCCATATAATTCACACATGTATGTAGACAATGTAACAATAAAATTCATAATTAAATAAACTAATGGAACAAAAATATATCAACTTTTGAGGGCATATTTTTCTAACAAGAACTGCATTGAATCACTTGAAATGGACAGGACTAGTAAGGAAGTAGAAAAATGTGTCACGTACTGCTGTCTCAAAAGGACATTGTATCCGTTACTTTGTTCTTCCTTTCTTGAATCATATTCTAATTTACTATTTATTTATATATTAAATGTTAGGCTGGGAAAGGGCTGAAAATGAAACGGTGATTCTAAATCAACAACTTGAGGAGGCAGTACAGAAGAACTTGGAGCTGCAAGATCGAGTGAGCAATCTTGATGGAGCTCTTAAGGAATGTGTCAGGCAGCTAAGACTAGCCAAAGAAGTGCAAGAGCAAAGGATTCGTGAAGCTATAGTGGAGAAAACCAGTGAATGGGATTCCACCAAATTAGAGCTTGAAAACAAGCTTCTTTTGCTCCAAACTCAAGCAGAGTCTGCCAAAGTTGACTCTCCAGCTTTTGTTGATCCTAATCTTCACCTCAAATTAAAGTTTTTAGAAAAACAGAACTCCGCCCTCAAGCTTGAACTCCTTTCTCAATCTGAAGAGTTGGAAATTAGGACCATTGAGAGGGACTTGAGCACCCAGGCGGCAGAAACAGCTAGCAAGCAGCATTTAGAGAGCATAAAGAAGGTGGCCAAGCTTGAGGCTGAGCATCGGAGGCTGCAAGTGCTGGCTCGCAAGTCATCCACGTTGCAAGATCAAAAATCTGTTTCTGTTTCCTCGACATACGTTGAATCAGTCACAGATAGTCAATCGGACAGCGGGGAACAGCTAAATGCAGTAGAGATTGATAGTCGGAAAATGAGTAGATTGGAACCAAATGAGTGTGAGACAAGCTGCTCAGAATCATGGGCATCAGCCCTAATTGCTGAGCTCGATCAATTCAAGAAAAAGAAGGCCATAAATAAAAATCTCACAGCCTGTTCTCTTGAAATTGATATGATGGATGATTTTTTGGAAATGGAGCGACTTGCTGCATTGCCTGAAGCCAAGAGTAACGGCCATTGTCTTGAATCAGAAACTATTGGCAATCAATCTGCCAATGGAGAAAGCCCATTGAGAGCTGATCTGGATGCCATGATTTGCAGGATGACAGAATTGGAAGAGAAGTTACAGAGGACAGAAGCAGAGAGAACTGAACTGGAGATTGCTTTAACTGCGAGCCAAAGTTCTCTCGAGGCATCACAGGTTCAGCTGACACAGGCTAAAATGAGGTTGGAGGAGCTGCAAAGGGAGCTAGATGTGGTGAATGAATCAAAGGATTTACTCGAGTTTCAAGTCATTGGTATGGAAGTGGAGTCACGTACCATGTCTGCGAAGGTTGATTCCCTGAACGCAGAGGTTGAAAAGGAGCAGGCTTTTTCAGCGGAATTGGAAGTCAAGTATAAAAAATTGGAGGATGAACTAATGAAAAAAACCCAGGAAATTGAGCTTCACCAAACTGCAACTTCAAATGGTGAACTAAAAATAAACCAAGTCAGTTCTCTAACTTCAATTTCTTGCATGATTAGATGTTTAATTTTCCCGCATGTCATATTGAATTTGCCTCCCATCTTTGTAAATAATAATGCAATTAAAGTAGTTAGAAGAATAAAAAATTTGTCTCTTGCAGGAGGACCTAGCTGTAGCAGCTGGGAAGCTTGCAGAGTGCCAGAAAACAATAGCGTCTCTTGGGAGGCAGCTCAAGTCTCTAGCGACACTGGAAGACTTCTTGATTGACACTAGGAACCTGCCAGAATTCTCTGGAGGAGGATCAGTGAGTCCGAGAGCTGGCGATGAACTATGGAAGTTGCATTATAATGAGACGTTCATGCCTAAAAGTGATTCAGATCCTTCAAAAATGCCAGAAGAGAATCCTTGTCCTTCAACAAACAGTAATGATGGAAAATCAAATGCATGTCATCTTCATCAACTTCACCAACCCTGCCACTAAATTATGTCACCTCTGCTAAGAGTCGAAATGGTTTTGGGAAGTTCTCACACAGTTGAATTCAACTCGAAAACCAGCAAAGTTGAACAAGAGAGGGTGTATTGGGGAGGGGAGCAAAGATTTTGTAGTTGTAAACAAGAGGATGTAGTGCTTGATCATTGTTGCTGATTAAATGTTGTTTAATTGGCAATTAATATACTTAGATGTCTCTCTGAATTTTGAAATCTAAAAAAGACTTTGAATTTAACTGTTTTCTTATGTTTCTTTGAATTGTTCTCTCAATGCTTCCATTTTACCTCCTCAAAAATTGGAGAGCAGAATTTCTGGCATTTCAGTGAATCCTAATGATAGGAATTGCATTCATAAGCTTCTTCTACATCACAGTGGAATCTCTTCATATATGTGGATGCAGGCCAGTTTTGGTTTCGTCGGAACCACATTATATTGTGTTTGTGTGTGATTGCTTTATTAGCTTTCATTTATGAGCCCAAATGAGTTATTGACTAGTGAGATTGTCCTAATAAGAAAAGAACTTCACTGAAAAACCAGTGATAGAAAAGGGAGAAGAAAAAGTGTGAGATTTTGACAGTTTCCAATTATCTATTGTAACGGACAGGACTTAGTGTTGTCATTAGAAACACTAACAAATGCATAATCAGAAGCTAATTTAGTGTTAGATATCTCAAAAGGGTTTTGGATTCCATTGCCTCCCCGTGGAGAAATTATTGCTATAGTCCGGACCAATCACAGCCCAAGTAAATTTGTCAGCGTTTTAATTACTTGTCATTCAGTAACTAACTTTCTTGTTGAAGTTGATCTACGTGGGAAAAAAAAAAAATAGTTTGACTTTTCCTTTTCTTTGGTGAGAGTAAAACAAATGGGAAGTGATTCCTATGCTGATTTATCTGCATACGGAAAGCCAAAAACAGTTTAAATTTTCATATTCTTGATTGGGTAAAATAAATGAAAAATGATTCCCAAGCCGATTTATCTGACATATAAGTTTTTTATCTTTTAATGTTAGAGGATGAGATTTATAGTTGAATTTATGAATAGATAAAAATTCTTTTGGCCTAACAAAGCCTAAGAAATAAACTTAGGTATCATTACCCAAAAAAAATAGAAAATTATTTTAGAGTCTCTAAGTTGAATGATGGGGACAAAGAGAAATAGTCATCCACTAAGAGGCCTGATAATTCTGGTCCGGCCTTTATCACGGGTGAAGTTGAATATAAGAATGCAGCCTCAACCACCAAATTTTTTTTGACTCTTCCCAAATCCCCATCATCTAGAGAGAGAGAGAGAGAGAGAGGTGATCCACTAAGAGGCAATCTGAACCACAAGAAAAGAATAAAGGAGAAGATTTTGACTCTTCCCTATTCCCAGTCACCTACTTAGTATTGCAAGTTTTGAAGGTGTAATTATAAGAAACATTGATATTTTTAATCAACATCTTAGTCTACTATTTGAGAGATTATCTCAAGAGGGTTTTAATTTCAAAATGTGATGGTTATATATATATCTGTTGCATTTGAATGCTTTGTTTCTGGTTTGTTGTGGACACCAAAAGACAAATTGCCATTTTTGTCCTATATTGAAAAGACAAACCAAAAAGTAAATGGGGTGAGAGAGGCTCGAACTCTCGACCTCAGGATAACTCAGAAGCTATGAGACCTACGCGCTAGCCAACTGCGCCACCACCCCTTGATGAATCTGTTAATTTTATGTCCTTATAAAACTAGAATCCCAACCCTGGTGTTGCTCCAAATATAATAAAAAAATAAATAAATTAAATGAGATAAAACTATTATACTTTTAGGAAGTGAAATCAAATGTGAGCAGATCTCAAATGTTGACTATTTTGGGCAATACTAAGGTGAAGACCAACATCATCCTGACCACATAAGCAGTACACTTTTGTTATGGCACCTTATATTTGATTGTCAATGGAAAATTAGATGGGCTCATTTCACAGTTGAATGATATTATTCTCCTTTTATCTTTTATTGACTTACATGTGTCATACATCCTAAGTATTGTTCATTTATTTTAGCATAAAACTCATTTTTTATATAAAAATAAAATTACTTCAAAACTTTTCATAAAAAGAAATACATCTCCGTTTGTTTCTACGTAAAATATTTTTTTTGAAAAATATTTTTATTTTTCAGGTAAAATATTTTTTTATTTTTACTTTGTCGGTATTTGGCAAAGGTCTACGTCGAGGTTGAGGTCGAATCCGTCAAGCGGAACATGTAAAATAACTTGCTGAAAATTTATGGATATATTATTTTTGTTAAATTTTAATATTTTTTTTCTTTGTAAATATTTTACGACAACCAAATACTAGAAAATAAAAAAATATTTTTTTAAAAATATTTTACGTCTAAATAAACGGAGCCCTAGATACAAAATCAAGTGAAATAAATGAGAATGTGATCAATCCTAAATTCTTGATCCATTAATGGATTACAAGAAATTTGTAATAATATTGTTAGATATATTAAATAAATTCAAAAAATAAATTATAAATTTAATCTAGTTCCAACTAGGGAGGAAATATTCATAATCCCTTTCTCTACAATTGTACTCCACTTAACTTGTTTTTGGTATTTTTTTTTTTTTGTACAAAGTCACTCTAAGTAGTAAGTTATACCCCACTGATCTTTATTTATTTTCCTTTAATATATATAGTTTTCCAAAAATTATAAAGCTGCCCCTCAAAAATTTGAAAATCTTTTCTAGTCTTTGAAAAAATTACAAATTAGTGACAGAAAATTGATATTTACACTTACATTGTTGTACGCTACAAAATTTTATTGAAAAAAGAAAAACAATTACACTCTACTTGATAATAGTGAGATTTCCTTCTCAAGTAGATTGCAAAAGTATATATTGGGGTGCAATATCAAATTGTTTTAGTATTCAAATTTAAAAATAATTGTTATTTAGGCTCTGTTTGTTTCGACGTAAAATATTATTTTTGAAAAATATTTTTTCAGGTAAAATAATCTTTTATTTTTACTTTATCGGTATTTGGTAAAGATTTACGTTGAGATTGAGGTCGAGTCTTTTGGGCGGGATATGTAAAATAACTTGCCGAAAATTGATGGCTAAGTTATTTTTGTTAAATTTTAATATTTCTTTTCTTCGTAAATATTTTATGACAACGAAACAGCAGAAAATAAAAAAATATTTTCTAAAAAATATTTTACGTCTAAATAAATGAAGCCTTGGAGTTACTTTATTATTTTACAATAACCATAACGACGTAATTTTTTTCTTAATCTTCATAAGGATTTTTATCTTTGGACTTCCATTAGATTAAGGTTATGTTTGGCTGGGCTTTTGGGGGCTCCAAAACGGGCTTTCATGTTTAAAAAGGCAATCCCAAAAAATTAGCATGTTTGGCGAGTATTTTGAAACGGGCTTTCCCTAAATGCCAAAGTTATTTAAAGCCCATTAGAGTGAAGCCGAAAAAATAAGCTTTCAAAAACGCGTTCTCGGGAAGCTAAACAACACTTTAAGTAATAAATTTTGATTTTCAAAATTATCCTTATATATATGATAAGATATTACAGTACGATATTAACCTACTGAATTGCAACATTTGTTTTCTCTATGCGTTTTTGGGATAGGAAGAACACCGACAGACCATGAAGAATAAGATATTGAACGAACAACTGATAGAATAAGAATTGATTAAGGAACAACTGACCGATAACTATTGATTAAGGATATATTTGTTTGTTATGTAGAGAGATACGAATGATTGGGGTGTTCTGAATAATGATAATAATTAATTAAGGGTTAGCATTGCTGTTAATTCCAAATTGAAAATAGGGTAAAACTTTATTATTCTTGTATAAGGGTTTAGATAATGATTAAAAAGTGATTGAAAAATGAGTGGGAACTTATCTGTGGTGTTGTGATTGTTCTTAATCTAATAATTGGTGAGATGTGAGACTCCTACAATTAAGTTATTCTATGAGCATAAATTATACTCCTAAAACGGCAAGTTGCTTAGAGTGCATCATCATTCTCAAATTCTTTTATGACTCCAGGTTTGTATTATTATCTCAATTGATGGGGAAAAAATAACCCTAGGGTTGACCTGCCGCCATTCCTCTCCAACTTGAGGATATAAAGATATTGTTATTCAAGTGACGAAGAGGATAAGGTAAACCCCAATATCGCAACCAACTTCATCACCTCAATAGATCCCATTACTAATGATAAGTGAGATCTCAACTATCGACATGTGCGGAACGATCTTGATTCCAATCGGCAGTCATAAATAGGGTATCGAGCCATTAAATTAGGTATGGGAAAAAAAAAAAAAAAAAACCTCAAACATTCAATACAGATTTAATTCTTCTGCTATATGATTACAAGTACTAACTTGATCGTTGGAAGGTTCTCGGCCGGCACCCCACTAGTGCAATTCGATGTGACGTCCCGTTGTTTTGCAGGCAAACGCCGTCGTTCCAGGTCGCGAGGATTTTCGCATCAACATTAATTATTCACACTTTTGTTCAATAGTTATTTTCTTTTTTTCTTATTTAATTGTTGTTGCTTGTGAATGATGCTTTTTTTCCCCCCTATAAACAAATTAATAGTAAATTTGCATGTGCTTAAATATATAAATTCGGTTGTTTCTTTCACCTCAACATGTGATTAAGAATTTCAACATCACTGTGAAGATTTTGAAATCCTACAGAGTTTATTGTATTCACATGAAGTGGTCTGCATTTCAATTTTTAATGTGAATAAAGTTCATAATCTAATAAATATGTCATAGTCAATGACAAGAAGCAATAGCTGATGCCGAATTTACTACAACTATGAAGGTTATGTTAGTGACAAAGACGATCTTGACAGGCATACTACGGTGGACTTGCAAATTCATGGAGAAATGAGCATTATATGTGATGGGATTGCTAATTCAATATGGCAGATTAGTAGATAAATCATTCCAAAGTATTTTTTATGCCATTAAATAGTGGTTTGAATCTTTGTTTAATTTTTCTTTTAGTCAATTATTGTTTATTTTGGAATTAGTAGTTAAATTATTTATACAATTTGGCAAATTCACATTTGTCATTAGAAATTTGTTATCTTCTTTAAATTAATTTACATTATTTATTTGTTAATATAATTATTATGCAATTTTATTGGTACAAATATTTTTATGTGGTTTTTTATTTAATGACAAAATAACAAGGAGGCTCATTTTTAGCCCATAGCTATAGGAAAGAAAGATAAGAGAGCAATACTCCCACCCA